AAAGAAACTAAGGTGTAAAACCGAGGGATCATTTTGATGTTTAGATTAGGTATAAATCTGTAGATATACAACTGGAACGACGAACATTTGTTGATACGTGGATAATTACTTTATTATCTTTATGAAGCATGATTTAAACTCCGTGTATTCTCTAAATTTTCTATTTCGTGATACATATTTTCTATACTTTTTTTATGATGATTTATTAATATGACTTGATGTAGTTCTTACTCGTGTATATCATAAAATTTATGGCAAAGTTTCTAGATCCATACGTAACGACGCTTCACGTGTATGGTCGATATAAAGTACAACGGGATACATTTAATTCTTCCACTGCGTAATTAAATTTAAATCACGTGCTGGATACACGGTGTACCTACTGGGCTCTGGAAAAGTCTTAAACCATCTACATTACTGGCTTTGTATCGGAGACTAAACATAGTTTTAGGGAACGTTTCCACATGCCGCAATATGGAAATGAATCGTTAAATATTTCCTTCCTGAGGCTGCTTATTTATAGTCTTTCCCAGTTCATAAGCGTAGACCTAACCTAAATTTTACAGAACACGTATTGAAGAATTAAAAAATAATTTTTCAAATTATTTGACATTATCCCCGAAGATATCTCTCTATCGATTGCTTTAAATCAATTAATTTGGCGAGTACCTAGCATTTCTTTAGACAATTTTCAAAAAAAAGGAAAGGAAGTGTGATCAGTATCAAAGTAATACTAAGCTTGCTTGATAGCTTATAATTTTTATACAATATTAGGTATATTTTGAGCTTCCTTTCACATCCATTCAATATGATTAAATTAACTTATGTCTTTTAGATTAATTTATAACTCTACTGTATTCCTGTTATACTTTAAATCCACACACGAAGCACACAACACACGCAAACGATCACAAATCAGTGTGTACCTACAAGTTATTCTTTGTACTCGTCGAAAAATTCGTCGCGAAATGATTAATGATTAAGAATGCGGGAGATCAAAAGAAAGCATCCACGCCGACAAGCAGCGCTCTCAAGCGGAAATAAAGGGAACTAAATGACCGCGAAACTCGGCAAAAACGAAGTGTCACAATTTTTACAGGCTCTCCATTGAAACAGCTAATTCCGTTTCACTGCAACGAAATTAAAAGTAAACGTCGCTCACGATTTATTCCTGACAGTCGTGGCTTAAACTCGAATTTTCTCGTTCGAAGCACGCGGATGCGTCGAAACGGAAAAACCACGCCAACCACGCTCTAACTTGACGCGTCGATTCACGGATTTCAGACACGAGATCGCGAAACGGGAGGACATTCTTGCGAAATAAAGTACGCGAGTCGTCCTTGATACGCGCACTTTTTCGCGGTCGGATCCCAAACCCCGACACGACGTCGCGAACCATAGCGTCGTATCTGTAGGCGGAACGACACGTGTACGTCGATATTCCAGGCGCCGAATATATTAGAACGTCTGCCACCCGCGTCGACGATCCAGCTGGCTATCGACTTCGCGTGCGTGTCAAATCCCTCCGCATCGAACAAGTTGTGGTCCCTACAGACGGATGTACGCGAGTAAATGGTTGCATTCGCGTGAATTTATACAACCGGAAATTTCTCCTTCTCTTGCCTTCCCCCTTTTTCGTGGGATATTTCCATTTTATCGTGTAAACTAAAATTTGGTAACTGAAATTTTATAGCACAGTCAATGGGTAGTATATGATTGAAATGCGTAAGAATTGCTTTCAAATGGACTGTCTCAAATGTTTGTTCATATTCTAAAGTATTTAATCTTATAATGTTAAACAAGAATTCGAATTTCCTAAATTTTCTACTGTTAGATGAAACTGCATATTTCTTTCTCATTTTCAAGAACCCTTAAAATTCCACGTTTGGAATACCTTGAAATTTCTCAGTTCCCCTGCAGCCTAAATTCCAACAAACTCCTTCAAGCTACGCGAAAACCGAAATTGCCAGATTTTCTCACGTTCTCGCGTAACCCGTCCAACTACTTTCCGCACAGCGTAGAAATCTCTCATATCTCTGCACGTTTCAAATCCCTCAAACGCAAACGACGCTTTAACGAAGGCCGCTTGAAATGCAAAATTAATTAGGTTAATTTTCATCCTCCCTTTCACCCTGATCCATCACCTTCCATTGAGATCCCGACTGGCAATAAGGTCCGAAAAGAAGAGGAATCCTCGCGGCACAGACAAGACTTCGACTAGTTCCATGGAGCTACATTCCATTCCAGATTTTCAAATTACCGGATTATCTGGATGGAAAGTAGCTGGCGTGGCAGGGATCCGGGACGCTAAGCGTCGGCTTGCGGCATCCGCGCGGTTTTAAGCTCGATTATGTCGACGCCTCCTCCGACGCGTTGGCTCTTTTTAAATAGAGGAGAAGAATCGCGCTCCAAACGAATGGCTGAGATTCCATTGTGAAACCGGTAATTCTCTTAAGCGATATTTTTTTCTTCACTGTGGCAGAAAATATCGAGCAGATGGCCTGGGGCACGTGCAGCACGCGAATTGAGAATTCTTTAAAATTTATTAATAATAATAAAATTCATAAACTGTCCCATAGATATATATAGTTACTTTCTGATCATCAAAAAGAAAATTGCTCTTTGAAAAATAATAAGATTTCAAGATTTAGAAAGAGTACTCCCAATTTTTCTAAATTTTTACAATGTAATTGAATGTATATATATAATAATATTGAAATGTAAACGCAGATAGATTGGAGCTCCAATATGATAAGTATTTTATGATACACATACACAGCACAGCACTCTGTATATATACAAATTGTTATGTATATCTACGTATGTATATAAATTTGATTTATAAGATTTGCTGATAATAAATAATATTAAAGAATAGTATTAAAGATACAATGTTACTTTATTCCCAGCAGATAACCTTAATTCTCTGCATTTGACTGTAGCCATTATGGTGAGAATGATAATATGCATTTTATAGTTCATTTCTATTTTCACCAATGAGGACAAAAGAAGTAATGTTACTGTGTAAATAAATTCATACTTATAACACTTCTCCTCTCTAAAAAGGAGAATTTTGCCTCTAGAAGTATTCCCACTGGAATAATATCTCTTTCGAGTGCAAAAGGTGATTCCTATGAAAAAAGAAGAAATTGCATTACTGTCCAAATAAATCTCATATCCCGTCTAAATAGCCGTCCTCAAATTTCACTTTCAACTCAAAACATCACACAGTTCCACTACAAAGGACTTTTATCCTGCAGCTAGAAGAGAAATATCAACAAAAAAGGTTACCTCCTTGCCCGCTGCCTTCCTTTGCTACCAAACGATAACATCCAGCCCCTCTTCTCGGAATAGTCCGAGATATTCGATCGCTGTGTTAATGCAACGAAGTTTCTCGCGTTCTCTTCGCTTAGTATGGCTTACACAATTTCCAGCGACCCGGCAAACCGTCTGGCAAAAACGGCCAAGAAACGGTCAATCGCGCGAGTTCTATGTACTCCGTGTAACAATCGACTAACTGAAACGTCCCCGTAACAGGCGTGAGATAACGCGAACCGTTCGGGAAACGATTTCACGTAAGAACGCCATGCTTATCCGATGGCGGAGGAAAGGAGCCGTGGGGGCAAGAAGCGGAACGCTTTCGCGAGGGCCAACAGTCTCAGTGCCGTTATGTCATTCGATAGCGCTGCGATCGATACGATCTTAACGGTCGTTTCGTTCCAGTGATCCAGTGGAAAGCGTGAAATCGCTCGTGCGGCACGTGTCGTGATTTTGTTCGATTTATCGATCGTTGGTCCGAGACTCGGTAACAATGAGTCGGTCGAAGACAAATTCGTCGCTAATGGAATTGCAGATGGAGATAGACGAGTGGAAAAAGAATCTGGAAATTTCTGTTTAGTAACTTTTCGTCGCGACACAGAGATTTTTCTTAGTCCAGAGTACATCTGACTGTGAGGTTAGTCGAAATTTACTTCCTGTTGTTCATAATATACGTTTTAATGCACGAGTAATTTAATAAATTAGAAAGCGGTACTCATCGTGGATTTCAATTATGGTTTATTTTATAATTGGAGTACATGTAGCCCTCCTACAGCACGGCATCCTATAACACGGTTTCTAACACAATAAAAAAACTGCAAGAACCTTTGTACAACACTGTACCTCTACATGAGCAGTGACGACGAAGAAATTTATTAAATTAAAGTTGCATTAAATTAAAATAATATTTTTGTTTCTTGTTTTGTTTTATGTTGTACATACATTTATATTTTTGATAAAAATTAAGTTGTTTACGTAGAATTAAGAAAAAATTTGTTTTTAGTAGGCCTTCGGAACGTAACCCACCTTTTCGTACTGGCTCTGGGTCTCATACAACACGATTTCACACTACACGGCTTTCCCTAGGAACCTATCTACCGTGTTATAGGAGGGTTGCCTGTATTTATGAGGCTCCTTTGGGATAAGCAAATTATATACTGATCTTCACTTTCACCAGTAATGTCTTCCCTTCGAGAATATGTTGTCAATTTAATCAGAGAACGTATCTCCTATTATCGACGATATATATAAAATCTCAAAAAATGTTTCTAATATAAGAAATATTCCAGTATGCAATCATTTAAGCACACTTCCGCCGGTGACTATATGAGTATACACATTTTCCTTTCAATCGACCATTATAGCACTTAAGCTTCCACTGGAAAGTCTCGAAACCGATTCCATCAAGCCCCGAAAACCTCTTCTACATTTTACACGTATTTCTTCCTATCCCAATCGAAACGCGTCGATTCCTGTCAACTATACCAAAATCCAGGGACTGCCGAAGACCTCGGGATCGTTGTGAAATCCCTTCGATCTCCGGCGTCTGCCGCGATATCCCTTCTGCTTGGAAGAAAATTCGTGATAGAGCCGAGTGGGAGGAGCTGGATAAAGCAGCCTCTGCCGAAGTTTACCAACAAACGATCGACATCGGTATCGAGTGAATCGAGAGCGTCGAAAGCATGTGGTGTGGATCGGTCGTTGTGTTGTTACTTCTCGTCTGTTGCGGTTCGCTCGTGGCTACAGGTCGCGACGGTGATGTCGCTAGTGTCACGTCTCGCCAAGACGTCCGAGGGCCGCCATTGTTGGCGTTCGCTACGGAAGTCGAGGATTTGCTCGGCGAGGGAAACTCGCCGGGAAAACAGCAGGCATCTAAGAAGGGTATGAAGAATACATCCGGTATGTTATCTTTCATCGTATTTTACGGTTTTATGGTTTTATATCTCGGTATCTGTAAACATAAATCACGTCTGCGTACAGATTGTTTTGATAACCTTGGTTAAATCATTCTCGAAATTTCCGAGTAGTTATCGACGATATTATTGGTAATAATGAAATCGTTGTGTATTATAGAATAGTTCTAAATGTTTCATAATTGTCTTAACTAGGTGCATTATTGATAGAAATATTTGGAGTTAGGAATATTAATTAGGATTGCTAATTTCCTTACAATTTAGTGAAGGGAGCTGAGAAAGTAAAATAAGTATGCGTTAAGGAAAGGAATTTGTAACTCGTTAATGCAGTTTCTTAAAAAGAAGTGTCTTGGAAATGTTAATGAGTACTGCATAAATGTATTTTTGATTTCATAAAAAATTAATTATAACACGAAATCAAATTAAAATGAGTAAATTGTAACCATGCATGCAAAGGTATATTCGGAGCAGGAATTATGACCAATTACGTTCGCATAATCAATGAATTTGCATTTATTGACTTATTTAGCGGTTTGTTTATGCTCGGTAAACAGTATAATAAATAACGTTAATAAATAAACGAACGTGCTGATTCGTAAAAAATTGAGAGAATGATATTTATCCGATCTGTGTGAATACTGATGATATTGCAACGAATATTAAATTGTCCTACATATTCCAAAAAGTTGAATAAACTTTCAAGCAATTACGATAATTAAACTGTCTCTTAGTAAACTCACTTTAGTACAATTAATTCAAAGAAGTGGAACATGATTTTAGAGATCGATAGCTGAAATGTTTCCCTGAGGAGCAATGCGCCAGGTTTAAAAGACCCGTCAGGGCCCGTCAGCCAAGTCCTAAATGCTGAGTAATTCGGGTTCTGGTGTTTATCTGTTTACTGTGCATTGTAGTGAAACATCCATATTGCCTCAGGTCACTGGACACGTGGCGCCATTCAAAAGTCTAGTTTAAGCTATTAGTCTTCAGCACTTAGGGTCTGGCTAACAGATGTACCGCAGGTGGTCGGGGCCCGGCCACGTGCGCAGGCTTCGAGCAACCCAGACCTTTCCTGCCATAAACTGAGGGTTGCGCAGCCGCAGTTATCCCTCGGCAAAGATGGGACACTACGGGTAACCTCGGGGGGCCTCTCCATGAATGAGGGGTCTTCTCCACCTCTAATCTAAACGTGTAAGGAGTTCCTTCACCTTTCAGGTGGCGCTTGCCTTTTGGACAAGCTTAAGGCCTGGGTCCAGGGGTCAAGAGCGTTATTCTATTAGTAGAATAGAGTTCGTGTTAGTTAAAAGTTCGAGTAGAGTACTGAAGTAGTCTAGAGTTGAAGTATAGAACAGTCGGAGGTGCAGATAGCCATTGCGTCTGTGTGACTTTCTGCAATATACATTGTGTATAACAAAGCACAGTCATGTAAGTGATTCACAGGGTAGTGGCTCCGTTCACTTATCTTCTCCACTTTGATCCTCTACAGAAGTAAGTATGTTCGTATGGTAATACGTATCCTTTTATCAACTAAAGTTCCTAATCGGTAATATCTGTTATTAATACAATATTTTCATTAGGCATATCAAGAACCTGTAGAATAGAGACTAAATAAACGATATACAAGCCACAATCAATGAGTATAAAGAGAAAAATTATTTTTAGAAGATTAACTACTCAACCATGAGCAATTTGTTTATATAATTTCATAATCCCGACCTTAGAAAGTAAAATAAAATTGCAGTATCACTCATAATCATTATCCACCCATAAATCTATACTTTTCTTTAACCTACACAACTCGTTAATGCGATACCATTAGAGTTTCACGCCTAACCAAGGAAAAAAGGGGTTTAACAAATTCAGAGAGACAAATCGTGAAAGGGGTTCCCTGAAAACGAGCCTTAAACAGGCCCTCGAGTTGTCGCGGTGTTCAGAGTATCGTGGACGGTAACAAGCAGGAATAATTCCGTGGTTTTAGGCAAATCAGACGAGGGAGGATACTACAAGACGTACGGCAGCGACGCCGAGGGCGAGAAGGGTTACTTGAAGGCAACCTACAGCAAGGGCAATCACGGCTATAAGACCCTCGACACCTTCCACAAGCAGGATGGTGACAAGTACGCATTCGAGAAGCACGTTGCCTACGGCAAAGCGCGTGCTGACAAGAAAAGTAGCCACAACGACGAGGCAGCCTCTCGTTCTGGGGAAGCCGGTGATCACGAGGGTGCAGGTACAGAGAAACTGCACGACGTGGAGTACGTAATTGCGTGGTAACCTTAGAGCATACTGGATGAGCCAAGCTTCTTGTCAATTTACCAGCTTAGAGATAAGAATTTGCCACTTTTTAACTTTACCGCGTGGTTGATCTTGTCATGGTAGGTCTTTTTAGCGGTATTAGGTGTATTCAGAGAAAAAATTTATTTGATTTTATCGTGTTCTAGAATTAACTATCAGATAGTAAATGTAATCACATGGCTAGTTGTACCTTCTGTATGTAAAACAAAATTTAACATTACTTGAATATGGATTAGGAATTAATTCTTGGGTACAAAATGTAATGATTCGGTTACCATACTTGACATGGCATGTAATATTGTACGATTTAATTACAATAATTACAATATGAAACAGACTGCAATATATACATATTACGTATAGGACAGAATGACTTGAAATTCATATCAGGTTTAATACTAATCATGGAGCAATTACAGAAATAAATTGAAAGCATTTTGAAAATTTGTCGAATATGTTTCCTAACGCATATAAATATTTATTGGGATTTTCCCTGATTAATATTTAAAAGATATTTCTGAAATATATATTGCAGTGGATGTGAAAAATGTGACCCAAGTTTGATGAGCTATTAATTTTCGTGAGCTTTCGACAGCTTTCGAAAAAATATTAATTATAATATATAAATATTTAGTTAGAAAATAGAGGGAGAGAAGCAACGTATTTTTAATCCACATGATTAAAATATTTGCCAAGTTCGGATAGATCCTAAGTTCCCAAAACTTTCTTCTTTATACCGTACATAATTTTCACGGTATATATCCATGCCATTAGTCGCACAGGGTACTCTAATGAACGTCGATCGCAAGTTTTCTCCCGTAAACTTAGTGTCCCGCGTATCGATCGCCAATAAAACTACACCATCGGGATAACGATATTAACTGAACGCATTCATGTGCTCGTTTCGTCCTTACTTTAACGCGAGCGCCTAACCATTTTGCTAATTACATTACAGAAAAATGCCATTGGATCACTCTTAACTACCCTGCACGTTCTGTAAATTTTATTATTTCTTCTAAAATTCATTTCATACCGATTATCTCGGTTTCGAATTACAAACGTGTAGAGTTAGATATACTTTTAAGTCGTGCTTTAAGTCCACGTTCCGCAGTGACTATATGGATTTTAAATTACGTTATCCGAAGTTTCCATATCAATCGTATTATCAATTTCCCTAGGTACCATAGTCGATACCCATTATGCAACCGATGAGGGCGACCATCGCGGTGATAGCGGTGAACACGTCGAAGCCAGCGATCACGAGGGCTATACACACGAAGTTGGCGCTCACTACACGGATCATGGACCAGAGCCTTCGAGTTACGGACACAGCGAGAGCTATACGGTCGAGAATGGCGAGGACGGTTCTTACGGGAGCCGTAGCTCCTACTCCAGCAACGGAGATCATTATTATTAATCTCTGGCCAATTGGACGATATCTCGCTGCCTCATCTCCCATGCAACGTATCGATATAATAGAAGTGATTTGAAATAATTTTGAGAATCAAGAATGTCCAAATGAAATCTACGAATAGGAATATCTAGTAAATGCCAATAACTTATATAGTGGAATGGAAACGAGAAGTGATACTTTTCGAAGTAGAATTTTTATTGATACTGTTAACAAACTGTCGAAACAGGATACAATTGAATTACTGAGTTTTTATTAAGCAAGATGAGATTTATAGATTTATTTTTGTACATTTGTATTTATCTCCAATCGATGTCACTCGATTATAAATAAATAGCTCACGTTCGTGAAACTAACCTAGAAAGTCTAAATTCGTTGTAATTAGCTTAACGAGTTATAAACAAATCTGACAATGGGACACAATTATGAACTCTTTGAATGCCCTCCTTGTGTCACGTGTTCATCAAATAAAGTCAGAAACTGAAGGAAACCCAAAATATCGGATACTAATATCCTAACCTATATAACCTGTACTCTCCAATCGTATGTGCACAACGCTGCCGGAGTTGAATAAAGTTCACGAAACTGGTACATGAAATTTTAGCAACAATTGCGGAAAGATTCTTTTCAGGTTGACACATGGATGCGAAGAAATTACACAAAATTTGAACAAACAAAACACAGAACACAGGCACAAGTCAGATCCACAGATTCGAACAATTGCGGGAATAATCGGATCGCGACTAAAAATGGAAACAATTCGACAAAGCATTTTAAAGAACGCATTGAATAACGACAAGCGCTTTGTTTTAATCCTCCAACGCGAACGTGTATCGTATTATAATCGCGCTGATACAATGCCGTTATTAAACGTTCCATAATAAATACGTAAGTATCCGTTCGTTTGCAACGTTATCAAAAATCGATTGACCCGATTTAACGCGATTATTCCACGATCGAAGCTTCGAGGCAGCCTGTTAGGACACGAATTTCCACGTTCGCGTTACGCTCGAGCTGTCAATGCTTCCAATTGTTGTTCGGTAATAACGCGAACACCAATTACACGCGGAACGCGCTGGCTACGAGCGCATGCGCCAATCGCTTGCGTAACAAACATGGCCCATGCGCGGACCGGTTGCGTAACGAGCACGGCCCGCAACTTCGATACCTCCTTGCAAAGGTGGCGTTGTTATTGCGAAATTTAACGATATTATGCTTGTATCTTACTGATGAGCTGATCTAAATTGCAATTGGTCAGCGACTGCTGTTGTTCTTCCATGTCTGTTACATTGCACTAGCCACCCACGATTATTGGCGTGAGTAATTTGTTCGAGATCCTGTATCGCGCTGTTAAGTGATAAGTAGCTATCGATCTTCCGGACGTCGTTAATATAATTGAGAGGGAACGACGAGGATACGAGTTAACTTTTCAACACCCTTCTATTTTCTTCGAGGACAGATCGATATAATTGACGGACAGGAGGGTCTATTTGAAAAAGAAAAGAATGTTTCCCGCCGTTTTGTTAAGTGACGGTTTGGGAGATAAGAATAGGGGGACGGGTTGTGACGGAAAATCAATTCTTCCGGCTGGAAGTAAACTCGCTTCGAACGGATTTAGCTGAGTCTGATGGCATGTTAATTTCATTTCCTAGGGGACATTCATCGACCGAGTTTTATTACGAAATTTTCACGCTCATTCTGTTATTTTTAGGGTTACCTGGTCTATTCGTGGATCGAACTGTTAGAGTTGTAATCAGAGGTTGGTCATTAGTCACGGGAAAAATGTTGATGGGTTATTACCTGAGAATGTGGAGTTGTGTGTGGAGATATGAAAGAGAAATATCAGATTGTTCGATTTTCATAGACCAGTAAAAAATTTTACCTTGCTCACTGATAATAAATCTTAATGATCATTTGGAATTAAAATTTGGTTACAAAGAGAATTCAGAAAGATTAGTTTGGGCAATCGCAGAATATACTAATTATGATTAAAATTAATTTAATTATATCACAAAATATCTACATAAATTATTTCTTTTTCGCTCGTCCCTCATTAAAGCGGTATTAATGTCGGAATATCTGTATAATGAATGGAAAGACATACTGCAATGCATATTTATTTCTCATCTGGAAGGGAAAAGTAAAATAATGCAGCACGAAAAATATAATGATACAAATAAATCAATGATATAACAAAAATAATTATAAGCTGAAAGCAAATTTGGCATAAAAGAAATGAAAGCACACAGAAGAATCCATTTGGCGAAACTTGTAAATTAAGCAATCTCAGAAAATATACTACAGCTTCCATTATCAATCATTTCGTAAACCCTTTATGGAAATGATGTATACATATTGATATGTCGTCCTCGTGGTTTTTTGTGCAGATTATAATGATATATCTGTTACCTGCCTGTGCCTCCATTATTTGTTTCAGCTCGACAGATCGAAGCATTAAAGCATGTAATATTTCCGGCGATACCATAATGCTATGCATGCTTAAAAATAAAGCCAACCGCATTTAAATCGTACTTATTACCTTCTCCCAGTAACAAACGATTTCGCAATAGCAGTATCGATTTATTAACTGATTGCGAATCTTTTCTGGTACAAGTTTCTTCATTTGTGGAATGAAAAATGACCTATGAATTGACCATGGAAGAACTATAATTTGGTTTCCTGTAATATAGTATAATTCTTTATAAATAAAATATTGGCAATGTAAAAACTAAGTTCTTAGATTTTACTAACACTCTCCAGTAAATAATTAATTCCTCTTTAGAATATTAGCAACTTGCATGGAGACATCTACCATTCACAATCCGAATCATTATAGTACATTAAAGAAGAAAAGACAAAGAAAAAGACGAAGTTGGAAAGTAAGGACTATTGACAAATGAATTATTATTTCTAATATTTTGACAATACGGAAGACAAGTTATCACTTTGTTATTATTATTATAAATACGCACAGCGCTATCTACTGAATAACACATTATTTTCAAGATTAAGATTTGATGTAAATATACCAAACAGAAGGGGGAAAGCACCTTCTCCAGTAAATTATTGCATACGATCTATGGATGTAAGCAATCCAGAAGACGAGTTACCATTCCGCCATTGTACCTCAAGACTAACCCAAGCGCCATCTACTTCGCAACATCCCCTAGTAAACAACTGATTGCTAGCAAAACATTAAAAACCCCGCTCACTTAATTCGTTAAGTTGCCCAAGTTAAAGAGTTAAAATCGTATCAGGGTTTCACGCAAATGGCAAAACGCGAGCTCCGTGTCCAACGGTACGCCATTAGCGTTGTCTGTTCTGGTTCTGGCTGACGAAGAAGCAACGAGAGACCGGTTTGTTAAAAAGTACAAACGGTCACGCGACCATATCGCATTCAGGGGCGGACGACGTTTGACGCGTGTTGGGGAGGGTGGCGCACAGGAACCTGTGGGGGCGGCGCAACGGATTTTGCAATTATTTATAACGAGGAAACTTTCGGGACGGCCGCAGCCCGGCAATCGGTTCGTTAATTGCGCGAGATAATTATTGTTAAACGCCGCGCGCGTGACAAAGGATGATTCCGCCGCTGTCATCGGGGCCCCTAGCTAATTCGCCGTGTTCGCTGGAGGACGATCGCGCGCGAAACTCGTCAAACTTTCCACCCTCTACCGTGCCACTCACCGAACTACGTTCGTTTGTTAATTTTTCAACGAGAAATTTCGATGAATATGGAACGAGCACCGGCTCGGGTTAGCAGGGAAATCAATTTTCTGCCGTGGTTGCGCAACTTCACCGATCTTCGTTCAAGGGCAGACCGATTCATTATTGCCCACCTCGTTCATTATTGACTGAAAATTTGGCAACGGGAAAAATTGATTGGGTTAAATAAAGATTCGAGTACGTGTGATATACTTGATTTCACTTTAGTCAGGTTAAAGACCGTGCGATATTTCGAGTTATCTATGCATAGTACTACTCTGAAGTTCTGGGAAAATATTGACAGCAACTATTTCACTCTCCCTCTTTCTTTTTTAATAATATTGCGCAGTTAAAATTATAACGAACGTTATCACATCTACTAAAATAACTAATATCAATACGGACAATAAATACCAAATTTTCTAAAGCTTCTGACAAAGCTGCCTCCGAAACGAAGACTATCAAAGGGGAAAATGGGACGAATCATATTCCAATAAATCTCGAAACGAAACCGTTTAATATCCCAACTATTCCGGTGTACCCACCTTTCGTTGAAATGCCCTGAAAAGAGGTACAACTCTTGCCCGTTGCACGATTCCGCGAAAATCCGTATCGTGCGTGAAATTCGATCATCCTTTCCCAGTGCCCAATAAACAAGCCGTCCTCGAGTTCGGCTCGTTTTCAAACCGGCACGCAATCCATGTTCGAGTGCACTTAATCCGAATCACATGGTGTGCCTCGGGACAGACAGCTCGAATCGTCGAATGTCAATGTTAGTTACCCTTCTTCCCACTCGTGAACAGAGCTTGTAACTGTGGAGTGGAGTGGGATCAAATTAGGAAACAATTTCATTAGCCACCCGACAGACGCCATTGTTCCACGGCCTACGACTCGATCGGTCGATTGGTCCGAGGCGAAAGAGTGCCGAAGGATGCTTGTGTTGCGGTGGAGAAAAAACGAACTGAGTGAAATCGTGGCTGGTTCGACGGAGCTTCCGAGTTGAATGCAAAGTAATTTCAGCGAGAGGAGGAAAGAAAGATGGCGCAGGTTACGCTGAGCCATCAACTGATTGCGACCGGGTGCCGCTGTCTCACCTTGCCGTAGAAGGGCTCCAACCTCGGTGCAATTAAGTAAATCTTTGGAAAAGGGAGTTAAGTGCAATGTCGCTCCAAACTATTGCTTTCGTTTTTATCGAAGTTGTTCCGCTTTGAAGATAGAAACTGACGTCTGTTGGGAAACATCCACGTATAACTTCTTGTATGCAGTCTAAAAACGTTCCGATGAGTTTCCGATCAAGTGTTCGATAATTCTATGTCGCCGTTTTATTCTGCGTATATCAAAGAAATAAACTCCATTGTACAAATCCGAATACAAGCTTCCTTCCTGTTTAACCCAGGTTAATCTGACCTTCACTCAAGCGGAACTTCAATTAGTAAATTGAAGAACTTCTTTTGTCATTTACGTTCGATATTAAGAACCTTCTTCGCAACTCGATTCTGAAATTGTCCCAGAGTTCAAAGAGGACACTACAGCTATTTTTACCATAAGCCCAAAGTACACAACAGAGTCAATAATATTATTCTATCCAAGTTCCGCTCTCCTGCACAAGTTTAGTATGCCCCCGTAATACGCGAGATCTCTCGGAGTTAAAAGAATGGCAGAATTAACGGATCGAGCCTAAAATGGGGTTTCGTTTGAACGGCGAGCAAAGGGGAAAAAGGGAAGCAAGGTAGGAAAGAGAAAAAGCCAGCACTCTGAAAGCCAGCGGTAGAAGCAGCGGCACTCGGTTGAAATGTTTTCGAGTTACCAGCGGCACTTGAAGCCTTAATTTAATAGTCGGCGGCCTGTTCTTTTCCAAACGAAGGGGGTGGATACTCCTCAGCGGCGATCCACCAGCGTCCTTGGATCTGCTTACAAAGCAATCTCTCCATCTGGGAAGGTCCAAAGGGAACGGCACCTAATCTAATCTCCGTTACGACGATGCCGAGTCCAAATCGAAGTTGGCAGAGCCTCCGGTATCCGGTTTTCTCCCAGTCTCTAAAGGAACGCCCGGATGGTGGAACTGGGCAGTAACCAATCTTTATCTTGATTATGCAGCGCCAACGCCGGAGGAGCCAATCTCTAGCCGAACAGGCTGCCAAATAAGGTCGTAAAGAGGCCGAATCTATCGATCACCGTTTCAAACTGCAAATTCGGCGCTGCTGATTTGCAATGGAGATTGAAGAAGGATGAGGACGTCGACGATGCGGACCCAGTGAATAAGTAGCTAACAGAAGAAACTCTGACTCCCTGTATCGGGCGCAGAGAAAACGAGCTGCTGTCTGATTATCCCCTGACACTTCGTGGGCAATCTTGACAACCGGGGACGGATAACACTCGGCATTGAATTCAAATCGATTCGTTAGAGAAATGAATGTTCGTTAATAGCTCTATTAACAGTTACGATACTGAACGAAATTCTGGGTTACTCTTCCGCTTTTCCTTTCTGTAGAGAATTTTTTTCCAGCCTTGGAAATTCGATTAGAGGAAATATAGAGATAACTATGTAAATCAGGATTGGCGAGTACCGACTCATATTTGTAGGCAACAGAATAAACAATGATGCAAGTATAAAAATTATTGATTGCAAACTGAAACTTATTCCAAGCGCTAATAACTCTCAACTGACTCTATAACTGACACTAAAGCACACCCTGACTCTTCTGCGTCCTTTCACCCTTATTTCAGCCTTGCACTCTGTTTTCTTTCATACTCGTGTTCTCTTCTTCAATCGGTGGGTCATATATCCTAAACACTCGGACGCATTCCTAAGCTGTCATTCTTCACTTGAATTCGAAACCGCCATAAATATCCCATTCGTACGATCCTTGCACGTGGTCACTCGTCCTTTCGCACACATTCTAGATAATATCCTGAACGCTTAAACCGAACCCGAAGACGCTGTTTATTGTTGCTCGCTGGACGGCCCAGGCGTTCCCATTCACTTTACAGTCATACGCACACAAGAGGTACTGTCACAGGTAGTGACCTCCTATATATTTATGTTCTATTCCTGGGGAACATTTTTTGATGGTTATTCGGAATTTTTATTGCTTCCCCATCCTGCTACTACTAATTTCAAATCCTTATATAGCTTAGGAAGATTTTAAGTTAGCCATCGGGATTCAAATTCCCAGAAGACACTTATATCCAACAATGAGACTGATAAAGCGGACTGAATTTATTTAGTCACACTTCCATCCCAACAAATTACAACCCTAACTTTGATCAAATTTTGAAAATATAAAATGGCTAGCCATTCTGGCTCATCTGGTAATATTAGCTTGAAAGATATTTCCCCTGTGCATTATACACACTGAAATTATCATCCCACAAACATACAAGACTCATAAACCACCCTCCAAGGCACGTATTAGCCTTCTTACTGCCCCACCAAGCTCGCATGCAATCCCTTAGAACAACTAGGGAACGAATGCGTTATACGGCGGAGCGGTACACATTACAAAATTATACAGCAGGACGTGGAGTTTTCTTGACCTGGTGGCGACTAGCTCACGAAACTTCCGTAAACTTCGTAACCCAGAAATTCTAGAAGCAAGTAGACCCAACAAAATTTTGCGCGCTCGGACAACAACTTTGCCGATCGATTGACTCGAACGACGTAGCGAGATTTCTACGAGTTTCGGATATCCTCGAAGACGTACGTTCATGCTTGGCTGGCACGTGGCTGATATCTTAAAGACATTAAGTGGTCTCGTTAGATGGCGGAATTTTGCAAGGTCATGGGACAGAATCGTCAGCAGAACCGGGATCGAATGGGCGAACAGTTAGCAGAGCACGCGGTGCAACTAGAAGCGACCATCCAGCTGTGATATACGCGTTGCCGACGTCTGTAAAACTCCATAAATTGTTTTTTGACCTGTCGCGTTATAAATAACGCGGACTTCATGAATTTCAGCCGCGAATTCACGTCACGAAAGACAGGATTAATGGTGGTATTAGAAGGTTCATCGACGACAAGTTTTGCGGTAACGATACCCAACTTGACAGCTATGAGTCTATTGCAGTGTCAGAAAAATTATTTTATTCGTCATTTATTGGTATTATATGAAAGAATATATATATATTTTTAAATATTATATAATTGTTTAATGACTGTGATTCGCGTATACTCGTGTAATAATCTCCGGACTGCAGAAAATTAATACCCATATTTTTGGTAATTTATTACCTACATAAAATCATAAAATAATAATAACCTTACTAATTCTCTTCCATTCCGAAATGCAATTTTATTCTACTGGCTATCAGTAAATCGTGACAAAAATTGCCTAACGCTATGGAATGCCTGGGTTAATTACCTCGATAGAAAGTCACAGATTCTAGTGTTTTTGGATGCTTGGACTAGTCATGCACTGGTTGGTCACAGCGTTTACCAAAGTGTTCGCAAAACACAAGGACTGGACCTAGTAATAATGTCACTTCGTAACAGTATCCAAGTTTTACGCAATCAGGTATACCTCTTGGTAAATTAAGCTAAGTAAAAAGGAAATTATTTCGTATTTCATAATACGAAATCTAATCGCAATCGATCGCGGTGTCAGGTAGAACCATTTTCCTCCATTACCCACTTTCTCTGACTCGTTATAAAATACTGAACCAGATAGTAAACTTGACAAAACACGAAATAAGATAATTTACAAATCACCTAATAATTGGTTTCCCATAACACGTGCCACAAAAAAACTCTAGTTCATCGCGACAAGCGTGACAAATGGAATGGACGCGCATTATTTCTGGAGAAACAATGGAATCGTGACCAATCATGTTCTTTCCTATATACTTCATAGAATTAATCTATCAACGACTTGAACTTTCCCACCGTTTTAATTACACACGAAACCTAACATCGTTTCCTAGTTCCATTGTTTCCTAGTCCAATGCTTCGAATACATCCCCTACTTCCCATACTCACATTTTTGTTTTCCTACTTCCTTTGTGGACTATACCGAAAGAACTATTCGATTCGTCATTATCCTTCGATCACTCTTCCGCTGTTGCCAAACAATGTAGCTCTAATAGCCATACCGCCATTGCATCATGTCACAGCGGACCAGTTATCCGCCTTTTTCCCTCCAAGTCAATCGCACGAAAAACAGCGGACCATTTCATTACGGGCTCGAGAAAGTGTGAAAGGATCAGCTCACGTCGACGGAAGGCTTGCGGTCGCGCGGATGAAAGTGGAATCGTAGGAAACGATTGGAAGCCTCGTGACGGAACAATCGAACCGTGGATATTTAAGTGTCACCCGTGGCAACCTGGTCCATCAGTCGGATGATCGCGTCGAAACCAGACCGAGATGCAGCGTGTCGTGTACCCCGTCATCGTAGCGCTACTGTTGCTTCAGCAGACATGCCTAGCGCGAGAACTGACCTCTGCGCGAGGTCGCAGAGATGCCCAGAGGGAGGACAGCGAGAGTGTGGTTTCCGCCACATTGATTCCTGGCTCGAAAACCGACGAGTCGAAGGATGACCTCGCGACGGCTGCTTCAGGGCACCAGGCTCATCACCACGAGTCAGGAGGTGGACAGAGTCATCACTCGCATCATCACGAGGAACATGGTGAGGAGGGCGGGAAGGGATACAAGAGTCATCATCACCATGACAAGAATGATAAGGGAGAACACGACAAGCAGCATCATTCTGGTCATCACGAGGAGCATGGTGGCCACAAGAAGGGACATCATGACGAACACGAGAAGTATGGAGAACATCACGAGGGTGAGAAGGGTCACAAGGGTGGCAAATTTGGGGAGAAGAAGGGACACAAGAAAGGTCACAAGACGAAAGGGTACCACAATAAGTTTCATAAAGATGAGTATCACAAGGAGCACAAGTTCTATGATGATTATCATAAAGGGGGACACCATAAGAAGCACGGTGACTTCCATGGACACCACGAAAAGAAGGAAGGAGAGCACAAGAAAGGAGGTCACCAGCATGCTGGATACCATGAGGATCACCAAGGCAAGAAAGGTCATCATAACAAGGGTCACCTTGACGAGGAGCATAAAGGTCATCATGGAAAGCATGGACACGACGAGCATTATAGTCACCATGATTCTTATGGGAAGAAAGGTGACCATCAATCAGGGAAGAAATTTGGATACAGTAAAGGACACAAGGGTTGAGGAATATGACGTTGAGTCAGAATGGTTACGAATTTCTTGTGTGAATTTATTGCTCTGTTCCCAGCTTACAGATGCAATTATATTTTTGTTATTTTGTGACTTCGCTAACCAACGATCGAGAAAGATTTGTTACTTGAATATTTTTTAAACGAAAATCGAATTGTTATTATATAATAAAAAAAAAATAATACAATTAATATTTTTATACAAAGAAACTATCAATTTTTAATTAAAACGATGTACGATAAAGGGCTGTGACCACGTTGAAGATTGATTAGAAGAAAAACGAATAAATTAATTACTATTATTATATAATTATAATTAATAAAATTATTTAAATTAGAAATTATTTAATTTATTTTCAGAAATATTATTTCTGTCGCATAATAAAAATTTTGTAGCCAATGGAAGATTGTAATTATCTGAATCATTACAACCATTTCCATAATATATACATAGAGGAAAAACATTTCTAAAGAGGTGTTATTTACGATACTCGTTACTTATATTAGACGTGTTTAATACCGCAAATATTTCACAGCTGTCAGTTTTAAGTTTTTCCATAGTGACGGCGAAATAATGTATCGCTGAGCGATATATACATATACATATATCATCGCCGGTATTGTGTAAATACATTATGTAAATACGCGCGCGGATATAGTGGGTGCGCGCGCAGGAAAGAAGCAGTGACGTAGCATAGCTCCGATGCTCTCTTTCCACTTTCCCCGTTGCCGACGTTGCGAATAAGTTTCTCCGCCGCACATATTTGTCTCATAATATTGCCATTAATCAAACCGAAGCGCGGAGTGTTCCTTTCTTGCTGAATTTTCGATGAAATTTTCATCGTTCGTTCGTTCAATCGTGTGAAAAAAAAAAACCACCCGCTTCGATCTCGTTCCGCTGACCACGTTGATTAAAGATAAATTGCCGCAAAATTTTATGCGAAACACGTTAATACTTCGGGATAAATCGTTGGTCGAAATTATTCGAATATTTGCTCGCATTTGCAAGATCATAATTTCGATTATAAAATTGAAGGAAAGAGAACTTTTAATTTATTTATATAACTAAATGAAAAAGAATTTTCAATAATTCTGTCTTTTATCTTTTACTGTCACGTGCAATTGGTATAATTGGTGTCCATTTAGCTGCGTGGAAATCTCTTTTCCTTTATTCAATTTTTATCTAAAGTATAATAAATATTTAATTATTCGATATTAAATAAAAATTTGTATTGAGCTAAAATTTAAAAATTCAATAAAATGATTGATTATTTGATATTAAAAAAAAAAAATAAATTACTGAATCTGTCAAAAATAATAACAGCCATAATTTAATTTATAATTTCCGCTTCTACAATCGATCAAATTTTAAAGATATTATGTACGAAAAGAATGAAAGATTATAAATTGAAATTTAAATTATTCCATATTAAAAAAAATATATATTTATAGATTGAGGAATTCGTTAAAAATGATAACGAGAACAATTTAATTCGTGATTTTCGTTTTTAAAATCGATTAAATTCTTCAAATATTATGTACGAAAAAAATAAAAGGTTATAAAAAATTTAAATCATATAAAAATTTAGATTATTTAATATTTAAAAAAAAGGAAAGACAGAATTTAGGTTGCTTAATTCGTTTAAATTGATAACGGGAATAATTTAATTCGAAATTGTCGTTTTCAAAATTAAGAAAATTTTCCAGATTTTATGTATGATAAAAAAAAGAAAAAAAAAGGTATGCATATATAAATAATTCCATGCGTCGATCGAACAAACATATTTTCGAAACGTCGAATTGTAGGTTAATTTCCGGTCGAGCAATACCCAAAGTGGAGACGTTCCTGTTGCAACGCGAACAATGTAGTGAACGTGTGTATAAATAGTTTTAATCACAGCTGCGCGAAGGTGGGTAATATAACAGTGACGGTATTTAATCAGTCGCGTTGCCGATTCAATTGATTTTCGGATATTAATGTGCCGCCCAATGGAGTAGCCATGGACCCCCAGTTAACGCAGTTAAATTTTGTAGATAAGTAACACGTGCTTCGTGGATTTTCAACTGGTCAGTGCACTCGTAATAATATTAATCGGTTATATTATGAACTATGCGTTTACGTCGCACGACTAGTTTCGAACTAGCGTTTCTAATTTGTTTGCCATCGCTCAAGCTATAAATCCGACACGAAATATCAAAATTTGAACGTTACCGGCATTTAGAACATCAATTTATTTTCCATATACAATCACAATTTTTGTAATCAAATGAATAACGATTCTCGAGTATAGAAGTATTAAAATAAATTTGGGTATAAATATATTTTATTTCATCTATGATCTTTCACGGGAAAATATTTTATTCGAAGCAATTATGTTCGAAGGTTCTATATCTTATAAATTAAAATAAAATATAAAGTAGAAAATAAGGTATGAAATAAAATAGAAAATAAAATATGAAATTGAATATAAAATGTAAAACTATCGTGTAACATTATCGTTATTATAATCTGCTAATATAATCTGCTAATATTTTATATTTTATTTTATAAAATATAAAACCTTCAAATCGAATTGTAATAAAAATATTAACTAATATAATCTATTAATATTTTATACTTTATTTTGTAAGATATAAAACCTTCAAATAGAATAGCAGATTGTAATAACAATAATGTTATTTTATAACGATTATGTTTATTTTATAAGATATAGAACTATCGTGTAACATTATTGTTATTGTTTTATAAAATATAAAACTATCGTGCAACATTATCGTTATTATAATCTGCTTTTCTATTTGAAGGTTTTATATTTTACAAAATAAAGTATAAAATATTAGCAGATTATATTGTATATCATATTTTAATTTATAAAATATAAAACTATCTTGTAACATTATCGTTATTATAATCTACTTCTCTATTTGAAGGATTTTTATCTTACAAAATAAATTATAAAATATTAGCAAATTATATTATATTTCATATTTTAATTTATAAAATATAAACCTATCGTGTAACATTATCGTTATTATAATCTGCTTTTCTATTTGAAGGTTTTATATCTTACAAAATAAAGTATAAAATATTAGCAGATTATATTATATTTCATATTTTAATTTATAAAATATAAACCTATCGTGTAACATTATCGTTATTATAATCTGCTTTTCTATTTGAAGGTTTTATATCTTACAAAATAAAGTATAAAATATTAGCAGATTATATTATATTTCATATTTTAATTTATAAAATATAAACCTATCGTGTAACATTATCGTTATTATAATCTGCTTTTCTATTTGAAGGTTTTATATCTTACAAAATAAAGTATAAAATATTAGCAGATTATATTATATTTCATATTTTAATTTATAAAATATAAACCTATCGTGTAACATTATCGTTATTATAATCTGCTTTTCTATTTGAAGGTTTTATATCTTACAAAATAAAGTATAAAATATTAGCAGATTATATTATATTTCATATTTTAATTTATAAAATATAAACCTATCGTGTAACATTATCGTTATTATAATCTGCTTTTCTATTTGAAGGTTTTATATCTTACAAAATAAAGTATAAAATATTAGCAGATTATATTATATTTCATATTTTAATTTATAAAATATAAACCTATCGTGTAACATTATCGTTATTATAATCTGCTTTTCTATTTGAAGGTTTTATATCTTACAAAATAAAGTATAAAATATTAGCAGATTATATTGTATTTCATATTTTAATTTATAAAATATAAAACTATCGTATAACATTATCTTTATTATAATCTGCTAATTACACTTGAATATAGTTACAATATTCTACTCAAATTTCCTGGATTTCAAACGGTTAGGCGATAGCATAAAAAGATTGCACGATACGCACGATAAAACACGACATATTTCGATCGATCAACGATTATATAATATCTGTACCATATTATGTAAAATAGCTTTATTTATATACTAAATAAAAGTACTCACATTTTCTTGATATATAGCCTTCGAAAAGATACGACAAGCTCTGTTGAAATGTGTAATGAGCCAGGAAAGTTCACATAACCTTCATTAGCACGTGCATCATTCTGTCAAACACTATTCACGCACAACGCACGAATGTTATTTATTCTCGCGACATTAATAATGTTACTATTTGCATACGAATGTTTCCATCGTTGCACCGTTCTATTTATTGTCCACCAGCCCATCTCGTATAATCCCGCACCTTCGAAAACTTTATTTACATCGGACAACGAAACCGGAACGCAACGGGAAACACGTGCCGCGTTTGCACGCGTCCGACGGCAACGATCCGACGGCACCGGTCCGACGGCACGGCGTGTGCTCGCACGAGGAGTGTCTACGGTAATAACGAGAACGAAAAACAATGTGTTCGGCACGAAATTGGATGAGCAATCGAAAAAAGTACACGAGCACTGCCTGGCCAGGATTTTAATCAAACGCGATCGCGTTCGCCTGTAATCCGGACAATTTCGCTATTTATGCGAGCGCATTCCCGATATGTTGGAAAATTGTTTCGCGTAATGCAATAAAGGCTTTTTCCATCGCGAAACATTCCGCGCACTCGAAAAATTTAATTCGTGGCTGTCGTGAGCTTAAACGGCCAACAGAGCGAATGGTATCCCGTGCAATTATTAAATTGTTTCGTAAGAAAATTTCATCCGAAATGTTTATACACGTAAACGTTGCGACGAAAAATATTTTTCTCGTTAATTCAACCATTCGATACACACATGATAACACTTATATATAATCACTGGACGACACTGGACGACAGACGTATATCAGTATATAGCAAAGTGGACACACGATGTTTAACACACGTGCACGTGGTCGAGCGGCGAGTGAGGTTAATATATCAACGTATGCAAATGTACGACACTCTCGTATACAAATAAACTATTTCTTGTTTCATCACCTTCGTATGCCATAATCTCAATGTTCTAATGTTATCTATCACTGGCCAGG